TATTAATAGTCATTTAATTGTATTACTAATTTTAGAAATAATAGCTTTATTAGTTAGTTTATAGTGTTATTTTATATTGTTATTATATAATGTTATTAGACGGTGTTATTAGACAGTGTTATTTTATGTCGTTATCATTTTTGTAACTATTTTTAGTCTTAAAATAGCATGATGACGACTAAAATAATAGTATATAGTATTATTGCAATGATTTGCAATAATTTACATTAGTAATATAATGATTTACAGCGTTATTTCCTAGCATTATTATATGTTATTATTATATAGTATTATTGAAAGATATATAAACCCTGCCTTTTTCTCAAGGCAGAGGGACATCAATGTATGCTCTACAATTATTTCTTTAAATATTTATATCACTTTTGGATATATTTGACCCTTCTTTTTGATTATTTTCTTGTTAAAAAGTCTCTTTATTTTATATTTTCTTAGTAATAAACTATTATTTTCTTGTGTTTTTATAGTATTTTTATAGTGTTTTTATTATATTTTCTTGTGAATTTATTGATATTTTGATTTATACTTGTGTAAACCTTGTTATTTTTGTCTTTATGTTTAATTATTTTATAATATTTTTATTTTAGTTTAAGCTTTTCTTTAGTTTTTCTGGTTTAAAACATTCTTTAACCACTCTTATACATTAAGTCAAGTAATATATTTGTTTGACTTAACTGATGATGACACATTTTATTATTAAAATATTTATATTTAGTTAAGCCAAGCAAGCATATTACAATATAGTAAGTGCAATAGTTTATTTAATTAAATCAGGGTTAATAATGATGCAGTTCAATTTTTAAGTAAGTTTAATAATAAAGCCAAGCACAGAGCACATGTAAATAACAATACAATAAGAATTTTAATAAAGTTATGAATGTAGGTTCACGATGATTAATCAAAATTAATACCGTGAAGATGTATTTACGATGAGGTAATCAAGGTAAAAAGGGTGAGAATTCGATAATTTTAATTATAACAAGTCAAGTATATAAGAGATCAAAGTCTAGAGAAACTTTATTAAAGGCTAAAATCATATCTTTAAATACATGAATTGTTAACATAAATTAATACACTATTCAATTGTTGAACTATCTTTAACATCTTTATTTGTCTTGCACCTTCCGTAAAATCTTTCCATCTATCATTTCTTACAATGATTACTTTGTCTTCCTCACTTATTATACAATGTTTTTATAATAAGTAAATGTGTTCTGTTCTTCAGAACAATTGAAACAACTCAGGTAACTCTATTACTATCCCCAAGTTTGGTGATTTATACACGATTAAGGAAACCAGTAACTTAATGGTGAAACTTATCCCAAGACAAAACTTGACCTTATCGATAAGACATAAAGTTATCACCGACATCACTTGACCATCATCCGCTTTTACTTCACCATCCTTATTGAGATATCCCTAACAGCATCGCCTGTAGTTGCTTCACTCTATTATCACCCTATTAATATTAAAGCCTTCATTCCCTAGTGCCATATTGTCCCAATAGACCTCCGATAGTTATAAAAGACTCACTTCGCTTCTCAAGTAGTTTTTATCTCCCCGTACACTGTTGGAGTTAAATTGGCCTTTTATCTACATAATTCTAAGCTCTCCCATCAACGGTTACAGTAGATCTATTAAAAATGTAACCGCAGATCTATCAAAACTGTAACTTTTGCGCCGGAGACCGGAGAGAGTGGCATTAACAAAAATGGGGTGACAATAACAATTCCCTTAATTTATTTACAGTATATTAATTTAATTACTATGTTTTTGTTATTATTTATTGTTAGCAATTTAGTTTTTATGTTTTTGTTATTATTTATTGTTAGCAATTTAGTTTTTATGTTTTTTTTATTGTTTATTGTTAGCAATTTAGTTTTGGTAAAGCTCTTTATACACGTATCTAATAGTCCGTTAAATTTTAAAATTTAAGATATCGATGTTTTTTTAAATCTAATCGAATTATATGTATGATAATGACTCTTAACCAAAGTAATAAATTATTGTAATTATTAAAATTTAAATAAATGTATCTTTTATTCAATTAATACTGTTATATTTTGTGAAATATTTTACTTTGAGTTCGTTTTAGTATAAGTCTATTAGCCAATCAGATCTTGAAATGATCTACCACGGAATGAAGGCCTAATGGCGCATCCACTGTTACTATTGTTTTGGGAGAGCTTCACAATATCGACACTATATATTCTTTGTAATAGAACAGGGATACTAAAATAACGATTTGTGCACGTGAGATTACGTAATTATTCCAAGATGGTAATCGATCAGGTAAATAATTAGGTTACGCATCGTAATTAAATTGATCAGTAATCACGATAGTTAGCGATATTAAAAGGTAACAGATTAATAACGAAAAATGTATAATACAATCGTGAAGAACCTTCACGGTTAAAATAGGGAAATAACAATAAATATGACAATACGACAATAAACTTATAACAATTGAGAAATCAATTCTTAATATCTCCTATACTAAAGACATTGAAATCTAAATCAAATACAATAGGGAAAGGCTTTTACATGTCTTGGACTATCTCTAATTACTTTGACTAGAACTATACCTTCGCTAAGCGTAACGGTTAATCCTACTATTTTCAAACTTCCTTTAACCATTTTTAACTTTCTTTCAACCCTGGTCTAAGCTTTAGTTTACTTCTAATCATTACGCCTTAAAATAACAAACAATTAAAGAAATCTATAAATATAAAAATAGAGATGACGAATTAAACAAATATTATGAACCCCACCAGGAGTCTAGACACTTTTGCAGTAACGTGATGTGGCGCATGAGAAATGGCCAATCGGGATGCGTAAATTTTGATCGTCCCGGATCAGCCCGACGTCAAAACAAAACACGTGCGCAAGAAGAAAAAAGAGAAAAAAACGAAAATATTCAAAAACTAGTGTTTAAATCGGCCTTTGGTCACTAACAAGAAATGTCGGGAGCGTAATTTTACATAAGGGGATGATCTTTCAAGGCCTATAATCACGAACCCTAACCAGAAACATAACATAAAGTCAAAAAAGCTTATCTGAATGTGCCACGATATGCACATCACGTTACTGCAAAAGTGTCTAGACTCCTGGCGGAGTCAAATAAAATGACCTTGATAACCCTAAGCCTTAGCCACCTATTTAGCCCCACCATACTTTTGTGACCCAAGGCTTGTACACATTTCCGTTACTACCCCGTACAGTACATTATTCAGTCACGGTTTTTCAAAGAAAAATCGGGACACCTGTTAATGGCTAGATCGAACACTAATGTTAATAGATCTAATAATTAAACTTTATTACAGCTTTTTTCGAGAGATACCAAATAATTTTTTTGAAGGTTCTTTGGCTTATCACCGTTTGCTAGACGCTAGAATATGTAGTTCTTTATACATATCACAGATAGTCGGCCGCCTTGTTGGTTCACATCTGAGTGCTATAAGAAACGATAAACATTAGTAATTAATATTAACTGACAGACGTAATTAATATCGATATTAACTGACAGATTTAACTTGATGTTAAAAGAATAGCTTATTATATTTACCTTTTGTACAAATATCTACGTATTTTTCCGGCACCAAATCTTTATTAAAATTTTTCGATAAGTGATCGTCGTAAAGTATTTTACCGAGTTCAAAATAATTGTATGGGGATTTTTCATGTGCTAGTTCCCATAAAAGAACACCGAAACTAAATTATGTACATATAGTGGAAAAGTTATAATCTATCAGCTATACAAAATTACGTTAAGCTCGTTGCTAACAATGCTCATTGTATCGTTTTGAGAAGCTCTTTAATTAATGAAATAGGGATTTTGATAACAATAAAGTCCGACTGCACATTAAGTTATAAAAACCTACCAATAAACTTCGCTCTTGAAATTATATTGTTTGTGTACATATGTAGGTAAACGATCAGTGTATGTTTGTGTGTTAGTGTGTGTCCGTGTGTTTCGATGGTATATTTCTGGCACTATGTATCCAACACTTTTAACATGAAGTTTCCCTGATTCATCTGTAACTAGTCGGCTATGATAAAAATTTGTAATTTTAGCTTTAAGATCACTTGTTATCAAAATGCTTTTAGAATCTATAGCACGATGTAAAAAGTTCATCGCATTTAGAAATACTAGTGCATTACATATTTCTAATGCAAATTTTAACTTAATCTGAATGTCCAATGGGTGGTGGCTCTCGTAATATGTCATTAAATTATATTGTGACCATTCTATAAATATTTCTATTTGATTGTCGTGTTTTATTCCACCATAGAATTTGGATATGTTAACTAAGCCCTTTAAATTTTTTAAAAATGCAATTTGAACAAAAAATCTTTCCATATCACGTGGTTTATATTCTATTTTTGCGACTTTTCCATTGTCATAGAGCTCTTGAATAATTTCATTTTCAAATAATTTATTACTAGCAGTATTTTGAATATCGACAATTATCTTGTCGATAAAGCTATACATAGAACCCCCCTCAAAGTTACATTCAAATGCTTGAATAAACTAGGAAAAAAAGATTTTAGATCATATTTTTAATGATAAAATTTATAACGCTAAATGAAAAAGATACCTTCTTTGTTTCTTCAATATCTCTGTGTATATCGTCAATTTTGTTATCTTTCTGAATATTAAACCCGAGGGATGATGTAGATTCATGAAATTCTTCTAGCAATTTGATATATTTATCTTTTAATTGTTCCAATGAAATTCCAGAATCAGTATCTTGAATATAAGATTTTAGTCCTCTGATTTGAGAAATATTCTCAATAAAAGATTTGATATCCTTAAGATTTTGCAGAAATTTACGAAAGGACATAATAATCCCATGCTAATAAATCATCGTAATCGTCATAATTGACTTGATTTTGAAGCATCTCAACCTTGGATACAGCTTCAATGATACATCCACCTAACTTGTTACACATTCGTTTATTAAGTTGAATGTTATCATCGTAACGATAAGAACTGTAAAAGGATTTAACTTGACGAGCTTCTTTGATTAGTGGCAAAATAGAGTCCCAAGTGATAGATTTTAATTCTGTTTGAGTACATAGCTGCATTTTGTTAGTGGGACCATCCGGTTGTACAACTATATCGGGCAAATTCTCCATATCGAAATGATATCTAAACGACGATTCCTCTGTAATCCAAAATTTTTGAATCCCTGGTAGGTATTTTATTTGTCATATTTTAAAATTCAATATTTTCAGTTAATAATATCACTACAAACCTGTCGATGGGATATCTTTTTCTGTACAAATCGGTTTTTCATTGAAACTTTTAAGATTATTCAATATTTTTGAAATTTCAGGTCTTAATGAAGGATCTGGACTCCAACATTCTTCATATATATAGATATATTGCATGGGCATTCCTATTTCTCGCTTTTCCCTCAGGCCCGTACAAAGTTGATAAGTTAATCCATCGTCGTGTTTGTCATTAAATGGCGGGCGACAAGTGTAGATTTCCCACATAAGCACGCCAAAACTATAAATATCCGAAGCTTTTTCGTGCATATCATTCGGTCTTCCGCTTAATAATATTGGATCGACGTAAGCTTGTACTCCCCGAATTTCTGATTTCTTTTTTGGTTCTAGAAGAGATTTTGAAAGACCAAAATCTGCCAAAAGAGCTTTTCCATCATGAACCAAAACATTCTTTGAATGCTACAAAATTAATAAAAAAATCATGTAATAATGATTATTAATATATGCGTGTGCATCACCATGGTCTTTGTTAGCATAGCCCCGATTATATAATTAGGATGGCCATATGGGTCATATGAGTCATTTTGTTGGTAAAAATCACGTACGTACATGCAACGAAAGTTAAATTGAAATAACAACAGAAAATAATTATAAACTTGCCAAATCTCTGTGTACGATTTCATTATTATGTAAAAATTGCAGTCCTTCGAGAATAGATATAATTATAGAAATTTTATCGCTTAATTTTAATATGTCTTTATTACTATGAAGATGATTTTTTAAAGTGCCATTGTTCGCATATTGCATAACTAAAATATAATGGTTTGTTTTAGGATCTACAATTAAATTTGTTAAGAGATTATGGTCAGTGTTATTTTTCTTTTGGTAGAAGAATTTTTTTAGCTCTCCGACGAAATTTATATAATATGGTGGTCTTTCAATAACAACATTGCTATCTATAAATTTCAAAAGTATATTATTTCTTATTTTTAAACACGCACAGTGATAATGAAATATCGGATAGTTGCCACCATTAATTATAGTTATTATAATTCGTGTTCTGTCTATTATCGTTATAACAGTCATGTCTGCGGAGATAGTTCACTGGTCATACTCTGAGGTAAAATAGTCATGACAGAAAAATGACAGTTTGAGATTGGAATCGATGAATAATTCACCGAATATCGGTCGGCAATTTTTTTTTAAAACATTTTACCCAGTATCGGTCATATCGATATAAAAAATTAAATTCAGAAATTTATGTACGAATCAAATTGGTTTTTAGGTCAAGTTAAACTTGACCCTAGGGTTGTTAAATTAATGTAAGTTACATGTAAGTTATTGTAACTTACACTGTAACTTACACTATAACTTACCTGACTTAAGTAATTTACATGTAACTTACCATGTAAAGTAAGTTGTCAGGTAAGTTTTAACAACCCTACTTGACCCGGGTCAAATTGATCCTAGCAGAATTTTAGGGTTAGGACGGGCCGGAATTATGTTGATGCCGGCCGGTATTTTAATTGATCAATTTGACCCGGGTCAAGTTTAACTTGACCTAAAAACCAATTTGACCAGTAACATGTACATAATACTCCGGTTTTATATCTGTATATTTGCAACAGACGGAAAGAAAATTCGACTTTATAATTCGAAAAAAATTCACCGACGCTCGAAAAACTGAGTTAAGATAAATGAAGCTCGAAATTCATCGATTCCCAATCTTTAGTAGTGCAACCATTAACCTATAATGACAACGATAATAATTTATTTCATACGCTCTAACAATATTTACCTTGAGATAATCCGAAGAATTGGATGATGTTACTTTTACATTGCTCAGATATTCTCAACGCAGCCAACTGAAATATTATTAAAGATGATTAATATGATTAACTTATTTATCACACTTTTTTTTATATTTATTTTCAACAAACCTCACGGTCAAAATCCTTTAATTCTGTAGGAGTTTCACGTCTAACAAATTTCGCTGCTATATGTCGTCCTTCCCATATTCCCTCGTAAACGTCACTAAAACCTCCCTTCCATGCATATTTTAAATCTTTCAATTCATCATATTTAATATCACAAACGGGCACTATTTTACAATGTTCAACATCACGAACAGGTGCTGTCTCACAATATTCAAATGGTTTCAA